ACAGTCTGATATTAATCAGCTAGTAAACTAGGTAGTGCAATGGCAGATGGAATTTAATCTCCATAATTGTGAGGTAATGGTTTCAGGAAGTATAATAAGGGAAGGATTTACACAATGAATGGTAGGTCCCCAGGGAGTCCTGAGGAACAGAGAGACATTGGTGTACAAGTCCACAGGTCCCTGAAGGTATCAGCACGGGCAGACAGAGTGGTGAAAAAGGCATATGGGATGCTTGCCTTCATTAGTCAGGGTGTAGAATATGGGAAAAGGGACGTTGTTTGCAACTTTATAGGGCATTGGTTAGGCCACAGATGGAACAGTGTGTGCAGTTCTGGTTGCCACACCAGCAGAAGGGTGTGATTGCACTAGAGAGGGTGCAAGGAGCTTCACCAGGATGTTGCCTGAGATAGAAAGTCTCAGTTATGAGGACAGACTGGATAGGCTGGGTTTGTTTTCCCTGGAGAACAGGAGACTAAGGGGGAATCTGACTGAGGTATGCAAAATCATTACAGGCATAGATAGGGTAGATTGTGAGAATCTCTTCCCCATGGTACATGTATCTAAGACCAGAGAGCATAACCTTAAGGTGAGCAGTATGTGGGTTAGAGGGGATCTGAGGAGATACATTTTCACTCGGGTGAAATTGGAACACGCTGCATGACAGGGTGGTGGAGGTAGGTACTCTTGCAACATTTAAGAAGCAATCTGGATGAGTACTTAATACGCCAGTGCATAGCAGGCTATGGAACAAGTGCAAATAAATAGAAATAATGCAATTTGATGTTTGCTGGTCAGCATAGACATCGTGGGCCAAAGGGGCCATTTCCATGATGTATGACTCTATGATTCTATAAGTTTCCTTAGACAAGGGCACCAAAACAGTTCCCAGTATTCCAGGTATGTTCTGATTAGTGCCTTGTATAGTTTTAGCAGTCTTTCTTATTTTTATATTCCATTCACTTCGCAATATAAACAAATATTCTATTTTTCTTCCCTATCACCCACTGAACTTGAATGCTAACTTTTTGTATCCCTATGTTGCAGCTTTCTGCAGTCTTTCTTGTTTAAATCTCCTCTAATCTTCTTTCCGATGTGCATGATCTCACAGTTTCCTACATTATATTGTATCCACCAAGCTTTTTCCCCACTGACTTAACCTGTCCGTGTTGCTTTGTAGATTCTGTGTCATTTTAATTACTTACCTTTCACTTATTCTAATCTTTTCCCTCATTCACAAATTTGGTCATGATAGCCACTTCCCTCATCCAAGTTATTAATATATTATAGATAACTGTGGACCTAGCACTGATTCCTGTATCACTCCACTAGTTACAGATTGCCATCTAAAAATACCCCTTTATCCCATCTCTCTGTCTTCTATTAATTATCCAATTCCCTCTCCATGTCAATATATTACCTTTAATATCATGGGCTCTTATTAAGCAGCTTTACATGCAATACCTAATCAAACATTTGTTGAAAATCCATATATATTACCTCTACTGCTTCCCATTTACCAATCCTGTGTAATATCTCCTCAAAAAATTCTAATGTATTTGTCAGATATGACTTTCTCTTCATGAAGTCATGCTTTAATCGCTGGTTGATTATATTATACATTTCTAAATGCCCTGCTATAATATCCTTTATAATAGTCTCTAACATTTTCCCATGACAGATTTTAAGCTAATTGACCTAGTTACTAGGTGTGTTTCCCTCCTTTTTTGAATAAGGGTGTTACATTCACTGTTTTCCATCCAAAATATATATTGAGGAACATACCATCAAAATAAGTGTGTGGGAATAAATTAAAAGAGAATCAAATATATGAAGGAGATGGGAATAAACGGATATGTGGATGGGGGAAATTAAATAGTGTGGAGGCAGCTTCATGTACAACATTGACACGATTGTAAATATCTGTGCCTGATGACCTATGTGCTGTAAAAACTACGTAATTTTATATGAAAGGAATTTTCATGAAATATTTTCAGACACCTGAATAAATCCAGTGACTCTCTATTTTACAAGAGATAGGAGTCTTCTATAGGAGACTCAAAAATCATTTGCAGAGAACTTCCAACTTCAGCAAAAGTCCTCACTAAATCATGTTAGGGATTATCCATTTAATAAGTAGCTTCAATCTTCTAGTTGCTCCCAAAGTTAGATGAGATTGAGTATAGGTAACCAGCATGGTTCTCCCAATGGCAAAGAAGCATGTATTGACTGCTCTACCATGCATGTTGCTGTCAGGGAGTGATCATTTTTAGATAACCAGCTGCAAAGGCATAGGTTGTTATTTCACATGCAGGTCTTCGACTGAATATGAATTAAGCAGGTTCCAGATAATGACAAGTGCACCCACTTCTTGCAGTCCACTGCCTTTTGCATGTGCTAAGAAGTATAACCAATTAATTCCAATGAAGATTAAAAAGAAACCCAGCTCTTGCCAATGTGATGTTTGCTGTAGCTGGCATCTTGATACTGCAGAAATCATCCAGATTTTCAAAATGGTTCTGCAATTTTGAATTATGTGGCAGATGCAGGCAATTGATTCATTTCACTTGTGTACAAATTAGTAATCACATGCCTAGAAATCACATCCAGTGTAACCAAATAAGACCAGTGTTCCATAATTATAAACAAAAACTGAAATTGCTGGAAAAACTCAGCAGATCTGGCAGCATCTGTGAAGAAAAAGAGGAATTACTTTGGTCACTGGATCCAAAGCGTTAATTCCGCTTTCTCTCTACGGATGCTGCCAGATCTGCTAGGCATTTCCAGCAATTTGTGTTTTTGTCTCTGATTTCCAGCATCCAGTTCTTTGGGTTTTTTTGTTCTATAATTACAGTTGTTTTGAAGATTGGATCCCTGAGACCTGGATCCCTTGATTCCTTTTCTGAGGACATTCAGTTCTTTCCTTCTCATTTTCTTCCAGATATTCATTTTCAATAGTATTCATTGAGTCACTCATTGAAGACCTAGATGATTCACTAACTACTTTTTCTTACGAGAGTCACCTGGGAGACACTGGTGCTGATGTTGGGGCTAAGATATTGCATGTATCCATTTTCGGGCACACAGGTCATGATCTGTTTGCGATCTCCCAATGTCTGTTGAGGCAGGAAGCAAGTTATCTCCTTTTGTGCAACACTCTTCAACCCAGGTTACTGGATGGATGTTAGTTCACTAGGGGCCTAAAAGCATGCAAGATGAATGCATGGTGTTTATTTTAAGAGGATCTATTCTGAACAAAAGAAGCCAGCAATTGTGCTTCAACTGAAGAAAGGGTAAATACAGTTGCAGATGTATTGCTATAGGTCTTAGTCTTAGTCTTGAAGGTGAACAGAAAGAGAGGCATGCTTCCTCAGGAGTCACAGGCCCCTCAGAATGCCTCCTGAAAGAATTGGAGCAGGTGGCCAGGGAATGTAATAACCTCCTTTCAATGATGAAAGTTAGTGGAAACATCTTTGAAGGATATCTTAAACCCACCATACCACCTCTCATGCTACTCAACACATTACACTCCCATTGCTCATCTGTCAGCAGTCTCTAGCAACCAAGATGCATACCTAAAATTCAGATATTCTACCTCACCTTCAAATACTTTTCAAATATGTCAGGGTCACACCTACCTGGGAATTGAGCCATTCTGGCAAAAATACATGCCAATTCATCCTATTTTTCCTTTGTTAGAAAAGACACAATGTGATCATCTTTCTTGGCATAATGAAGCCTCTAATTATATCCCAAATGCAGCACTGGAAGGCATATTGGCAGATGTTGGATACTGCACCTGCCTCTGCCTGGAAAGAACCAATCAGCTTAATGCCACAGTAACTTTTATGACTATTGACAGTGTGACCTATGGTCTGGTGTAAAGCTCCAGATCATGTTGAAAGAGGTGACACAGTTCTATAACAACATCCTTAGTGAGCCCAAGTCATCTCAGGCATTGCACCTAACTAAGAGAGGGATAGGAGACATGCTATCAGGAAACACAGATAATATAGAACCTTCTGTTTGAAGCTGTCTTCTTCTGATTCTATTGCAAGATTTCCTTCTGTGCAGCTTCTAATCCATTTGTTGGCTATGTTGCAGACTCAGAAGTATCCTAAAATAGCTCCCATACCTCATAAAAACTAAGCACAGGCAATAAAATCCCCTGGCCTGCATAACTGTTGCATAAACTCTCTAACAACTCTCCAAAAACAATTACAGCATTAATTGATCAAAAGATTCTCACTGCAAGTTGGGATGCTTAACCCTTTCAATAGAACTACCGGGGGTTTCTCATGCAGCTAGATGCATGCTATGCAGAGAATAATTAGCACAGAAGTTCAGTGGATTTGTGCAGACCAAGTTTCAACAACATGTGTCAAATCAGCTGGAATGACTGATTGAAAACACTACTCTGAGCCACCTTGCATTTGTGCCATGGCCAACTAGTGCCTGCATAGCATTTGCCGGCTTTGTAGTGTCTTGCAGTGCAACTCACACCATTTTAGTCTTGTGGTTCTATGAAGCCAAGATTAGTATCCATGATTTCATCAGAAGTGATAATGGAGTGGCAGCAATTCTGAATCTGGATGTTGCCAATTAAGTGCACTAAGTTTATTCTGTCTAATGATCTACTAATGTGAAGTCAATTCAGTATACTGTATTTTGGTGCACCTGCTTTTGCAGCGCTAAATTACCTGTGGCTAGATTTTTGGTGTACTTCCAAAACATGCATTAACCTTATGCAGCACGTCTGGATTTTCCTTTGTAATTCTTCTGTGGAGTATCATTTTTGTTATGGAAATATTTTATAATAATTGTCAAATGACAAAATACTAAGCTAAGTGTAATATGAATAAAACGGAACTTTGTCTACTAAGATATATAAACAAAACTCTTACATTTTCTCAAATGACCACTGGTTGATACAAGTATTACATCTTTTTGACATTTGTATAATTAGAACCCACAAAGTACATGTTTATTATAAAGCAACTTACTGTTTTGCCAGGAGAGCCCTTATCTCCTTTATGCCCAGGAATTCCATCTCTCCCCTGTAATAAATCACACAAAAAAATTAGCTTACAAAGCAAATGTTAGTTTTATTATTATAACTACGTTCAGCTAAAACTGAAAGCAATTATAATTGAACTGTGCTTGTTCATTCCCTACTATCTAATGTCAACATTACTCTCTTTTTCCGAGAGCCAGAACTCCTTTTAACATCCTGAGCACTAATATTACATTCTTGAATACTTTGGTAAATTGCTGGTCACTCCCTCCAAAGGATTTGACAGCAGATGGCCCATTGCTGAAACTATTTCTTCACAAAGTATTTAATCAGTGCAGTTCTAAAGAAGTAATGCATTGTCAGATGTGCTGTCTTTGGAACAAATCTGCCTGCTCAGATGGATGTAAATGTCATTGTACTATTTAAAGAAGAACAGGTGTATTTTCTTGTTGTCCTGTCCAACATTCAACTTTAAATCCAGACCACCAAAAGTAGATTGACTTTTATTACATTACCTATTGTGGGGCATTGCTATGCATACAAACGTTTTGACACTTCAGAAAGAATTATGAAAACACATGATGCAGCTTAAAAGGGAGAAAGCTGGAAAACTCTGTGGGACCAAGTAACCTGGACATGCCCAGCCACTAAAAGTGTCACTGATTTCTGCAATGTGTCTTCAATTTGTATACCAGGCAGGGATTCCACTTTCTTAAGAACCTTATGCTTGCAAAAGCAGAAGGAGGTTCCAGCACAAGTAGAGGTCTATTTGTGGGTAGTCTCAGCAACAGACAGATTTCCTTAGGCCCAAATGATCTCCTGAAAATGATCAGAGGTATAGATAGAGTGGACAGCCAGAGACATTTTCCTAGGTTGGAGGTAGCTATTACCAGGGGGCATAGTTTTAAAGTGAGTGGAGGTGGATATAGGGGAGACATCAGAGGTAGGTTCTTTACTCAGAGAGTGGTAAGGGCGTGGAATGCATTGCCAGAGAGGGTAGTGGAGTCGACCTCATTAGGGGCATTTAAGCAGTTATTAGATAGGCACATGGATGATAGTATAAGGTAGGGGTGGAGGTTAGATAGACCTTAGGCTTAGGGTAAAAGTTCGGCACAACATCTATTAAAACATTAGTGTAAGGAAAGATTCTTACCAATAGCCTCATTCTGTCTTGGGGCTGCACTTCAGATCTTGCCAGTAAAGTATTGGAACTCAAGGAGTTATAAAGCAGTGTTTCTGGTGTTCATGCTAATATTGAGGCACTCATATTGAGGAATGGCAGGAAAAGATGACATTGGGGCTTGCACTTGGAATAGGATTGTTCACTTTGGTGGGCATATTTTTGAAGGTGGCATCCCATGAACTTCTGCAATAACCACCCTACCTATACATCTTCCCAGTGAACCAATTCACAGCATATTCAGATTCACATTTATATGAATATTCATATTCTTATATCAAAATTCACAGCAATGTTTAAACAGACCCTTCATAAATCACTTGAATGATTATATACCATCAGTCAGTCTTACTCACAATGGCCAATATTTTATAATAAGTAAATAAAGACGCCCAATGCAATTTAAAGATAATAACTTATTTTGTCCTTTGTTATTGGCAATGTTTCTCTAAAGATTAGTCCTTAACCTTTGGAGATTCCGTTGTAATCTAGATGGCTGTCAACCATCACTGGAACCCTCCCACTTGGAAGAATCTGAGCAAGACAATTAGCAAATTAAAGGAAACCTGAGAAAGTATCTTCCACTTCCAACTGTCACATAACTCTTCAGATCTGGAAACATGAGAACTGCTGTTTTCCCTGAAGGCAATGAAGACACACTACATCTAGACATGGTTAGATGTAGCACACTTTTAGCTTCCTACACCTGTAAACCACAAAATGTGGTGGAGGAAGGGAGCAAAATCATTTTCCTGTAGGTTTCAAGCTAAAAAGTAAACTTAGACACTAAGCAGTATGCAAAGGGATCCCAAAAGGCTTTAAAATTTCTGTCCTCAGAACTGTGAATTTTCTGTATCTGTTAATTTGCAAACTGAATACTTCTGTTGTTATACATACATATTAATAAAACGTATTTCTGCAATTATAACTCCATGTGGCTTTTACCAGTTGATTAATTATCTTTAAGATAATGTATTGGGCAAATATTTGCAGGAAATCCTCCACACAGAAAATAATTTTAATAAAAGCAAGAATGCGTACAATGAACACAAAGGCATAAAAATAACTAATAGTCACACATTTGCTACCATCTAACAGTACATTTTTGTTTCATTAATCCACAGATACATGTCACTATAGGTACTGAATATTTTACCTACAATAATACAGGGATATGTAACTGTAATACAACACAGCCGAGATATTTTGGGTAACAATGTTACATCTTTAAACAATGCAAACATGATGTAGGAGACTTTGATTAAATGTGTTTTTTAAAAATTCATTCATGGGATGTGGTTGTTGATGGCTACACTAGTGTTTATTGCTAGGAGGCCAATTAAGAGTCAACCACGTTGCTGTAGATCTCAAGTCACATGTAGGCCAGAAGATTTCCTTCTCTATAGGACATCAGTGAACCAGATGGGCTTTTCCCCAAAAATCAATAATGATTTCACAGTCATCATTAGACTCTTGATTCCAAATTTTCTTCCAATTTAAATTCCGCCATCTACCATAGCAGGATTTAAACTCAGATCCTGAAACATTGCCTGAGTCTCTGGATGAATAGCCCAATGATAACACCACTAGGCCCTCACCTCCTCTTGTATTCAGACTTTTTCTTTTGCCATTTATGGTTATGTCTAGACGATTTTTAGATGAATTGTATTATTCTTCTAAAATATTAAGAGTGATATAATAAGACTGCTAATGTTAGACTATTAATCATAACAAAATCAGTCAAATGAATTTCAAGTAAGAAGAATGCTTGCGATTTTAAATTATTTACAAACCTTGGGCCCCATTGGTCCAATATATCCTGGCATTCCAGGAATACCCTATAATGAAAAATACAACAAGATTATTATACATTGACAGCGTATTAATTTAAACTAAATTCATTAAAGATGTTCTATTACTTCTGTCTACAAAGATAATAATGAATTGTTCTTTGAAATAAAAGAAAGTAATTCTTTCATACAAATTCTGTGTTGTTGTTAAGACCAACATTCGCTGTTCATCCCCAAATGTCATTCAGAAGGTGCTAATGAACATCTTCTTGAATCACTGCAGTCTATCTTCAACTAAAAGGAGATGCATGAGCCAAAATTCTACAGTCCCTTGCTGGCACTTTTCCGGGTGGGGGGGTACTGTAAATTCCTCAGTTGGCCTTCACACCACCCTATGGCATGTCCCGACCTGTCTGCATTTTTATAATGGGTGGATGAGGCTTAGGCTAGCTGCCCACACACCACAGACCCAACTGAGGCCTTAAGTGGGCAATCAATCGCTACCTAAGGGCCATTTCCTGCTCAGTCTCAATTTTCACACTGGTGAGAGGAGTTCAGAAGCAGGAGGAAATACCTGGAAAATCACCCTGCTCAGGTTTTGGATAGGAGGTGGGTAGGGGGCAAGTGGCACTTCCATCAGCAGTCTCTCTCAAGGACCCTTTCCGACAAGGTCTGCTCCCCTTTGGATGCTCCTTCTTGGCCCCTCCATCTCGGTACTATCCATTAACTCCACTCCCCACTTCTGGACTCTGAGACTTAATTCTGGCTCTGCTTGTAGTCTCAGCTGTGGCCATTAGTCCTTCTGGTAACTTTCTCCTGATGGATGATCTCTTCAGCCATCAGCAAAAGTAGCCAGTGGGTTTGTTGCATGTCTCCAAGGACTGCAGTGATTCAAAATGGCAACTTAGGACAACTTTCTCCAGGATAATTAGGGACAGGCAATAAACGTTGGCCTAGACAGTTGCGCCCACATCTCATGCAGCTCCAATAAGACGCTTAATCCATTCGAGATAAAGCAGGCTCATTGACTGGTATCTGATCAACCACAGGTAACATTCAATCCCTCCACCAACACACAGTAATAGCAGCATTTACAATCTGCAAGATGAACTGCACCGCTTCTTTGGAAGTACCTTCAAAATCTGTAATTACTGCTGCCTGGAAGGACAAGAACAGCAACATCATGGGAATACCACCAACTGCAAGCTTCCCTTCAAGTCAGTCACCATCCTGATGTGGGACTAGATTGTTTGTTCACTGCCAGTGGTCTACAATCCTGAAAATCTTTGCTTAATAGTGTGCTATTCCACATGGACAGCAATAGTTTAAGAACACGACTCAGCACGACCTTCTCAAATAGAGGTGGACAATATACGTTGACCTTGCTACCAATTCTCACATCCCAAGAATTCCACGGGGAAGGTCATTGTTGCAATGTTTGAACCCCTATAAAGGAACTTGCCATGATATGGAAACAAATTTTTAGTTGATACCTGTGCTACTATGAGAAAGATTGCACTACATACAGGGTCTGTGCCAGTCATTGTTGAGCAAATGAAGTACAAAGATCTTTTCAATTCTTGGAAAGTCTACACTTGCTACAGTGCAGAACAAAATCTGAAGATATTTTAACTGGAGGTTTAAGCACATGGGTGTTCTGAAGGTCATGAGACAGAATTTTCTAATCCACTGGCATTAGCTCTTTACAACCATGAAGGGAAATTAAAAGTAAATATGAGAATCAGGGTATTTACTTGGAAATTAAGATAGTAGTTCACATCTGGTTGAGGAATTCCTTTGATTGTCTCTCCATCTTTCCCCCAGAGATGGTCTAGTTGAATGCTGAAGCTCCTTGGCTCAGCACCTTCCTTTACCATTGGCACCTGCTCAAGGAGACTCTATTACAGTTTCAGAAACCCCAAACTGCTAATTTCAATTTAACATAAAATGAGCATAAGGTGAGTATTTCAAACAGCAAGAAGTGTTGCCTATTCTTCCATATGAATTTTAATTTGGAGCAGCATCCAGCTGGAAATCTTTTTTTACTCATTCACAGGATGTGGACTTGTGATTGTTGCCAATTCATCATTGTCCAGGGAATAGTTAAGAGTAAACCACCTTGCTGTGGGTCTGGAGTCACATGCAAGCCACACCAGATAAGTATGACAGATTTCTGTCCCCAAAAGTACATAAGTAAACCAGACAGGTTTCTCCTGACAATTGACAACAGTTTGATGATCATCATTAGACTTTTAATTCCAGTTTGTTTTTAATTATTGAATTCAAATTCCACCATCTGCCATGGCAGGGATTCAAACACAGATCCCCAGAATATTAGCTGGGTCTCTACATTAACAGTCTAGCATTAATAATCCATCACCATCTCAGTGCTCTAAGCCCACGTCTATAGCCCATCCCTAATTTCCCTTGAGGAGTTGCTTCTCTGCTTCCAGTCAAGTAGGAGGGCCTGGGTCTCATCCACAGATTATAAAATTTCTTAACATTTGTTCTCCATACCATTTGATATTTCACACTCCTCCTCCTTAACCATAATTTTTGTATCGTCCCATCTTTAGTAATAGTAAATGCAAAACATTCATTAAGAAGCAAATCTTCAGTCTTCACACACCATTACCATTTTTGTCTCTTTTCTACCTTAATCTTTCTTTAGTTATCCCTTTGCTCTCTGTGTATTTTTCAGACATTCTTAAGTTTTATCTGATTTTACTTGCTAATAGCCTTTACGCCCTCTTGGCTCTTTTCTAATCTCCTTTTTGGTTTTATCGAGCACTTGTGGGGGTTTCCTCTGGGTACTCTGGTTTTTTCCCAGTCAGGTGGGTTAGCCATGGGAAATGCAGGGATAGAATAGGGGTACATGGGTGGGATGTTCTTCAAAGGGTCAGTGTGGACTTGATGGTCCACTTGATCTGCTTCCACACTGTAAGGATTCTATGTGTAATAACTATAATCTTATCACAATTGTACAGAGCTTTGGTGAAACCAGGAATACTGAATGCAGTGTTGACTAACATATTTGAGGTAGCGTATACTATAATTGGAGAGAGTGCAGTGAAGGTTCACTAGATTGATCCTGGAATGAGAGGGTTTTTCTATGATGACAAGCTCAATATGTTTTGTTTACATTCTCTGGAGTTTCAATAAATCAGAGGTGATCTAATTGAAACATTCAAGATCAGGGCCACCCAAACTGTAGGTCACAACCTTCAACTGCTGACCAGCCAATTTCCTGACCTACTTTGATCTTTGTCAACATTGTTAATAGTTCTCTATCCTATAAAATATGCTGTTATCACCCCTTCTGAACAAAAAAAACCTTTGACCCCACTGTTGTTTTAAATTACTGCCCACCTACAAATCTCTGTAGATTTCTAAACAATTTGGACAGTGATGTCACTACATACATCTGGAACAGGTGGGACTTGAACCTAGGTTTCCTGGCATAGAGTTAGGGACACTAGCACGGCACCATAAGAGCCCACACAACTTCTCTGTGCCCTCCAGAGTCCTTGAACCTATTGTTGCTTGCCAAATCTATATCAATCTTTTGCAGAAATCCAAGTTTTAATTTGTACAATCAGGTTTACATCTCTGACACAGAACTGAAATTTATCTTATCAAAGTCATAAATGACTTCTGAAATGACTATAGCAAAAGTGCACAATCCCGCCTTATGTTTCTCAACATAACTGCATCCTTTCATATAGCAAGTCACTGTGTACTCCTCAATTATCATTCAGCTGGACTGCATTCAGCTGATTCCATTCTTATCATTTCCAGCACTGGTCAACTGGGAAGACGCTAATTCCCAGGAAGAGGATGGGGAATTAGGCATATTAAGAACCTCATTGAGCAGAGATTATGGAAGCTGTTGTATTAAGAAGTTGGCCTGAAATGTTAACTTGGAAGCTTTGGAATAGTTCTGCCCATTCAGATATACCTCTGGGAGGAACTAGTCATTCTTAATATGTTATTAGCTGCTGGTCAGTTGTATAGTCTACATTCATGTTGCATTGACCTAGTAATTATCTGAACAACAATTTCTAACAATGTCTTGCCTAGTGTTAATGCAGTTAACCAGTCTTAAGCTGATGTAACCTGTTATCTTACTATTATATAATAAACTTGTAACTCAAGTACATTCCATTTCTGCCAAAGTCTTATTAATGGTTAATTCCTCTCCACTTAAGACTGGTAGACTCCTACAGTGCCAGAAGGCCACATGGCTGATTTCTCATTACAGAGAAATGACTGGTTATGATTTTAACCTGATGGTCACCACAGGTCAGGCAAGGGGTGAGGCTGAGAAGTTGGGACCTTCATGGTGGCCTCAGACCTCACTTTTGGCAAACATGAGAAGTTGCCTCATTGTGTCTATGCTAAGAAGTAATGCAAGACAGAAGCACAGTGAGCTTGTAAATTCTGAATGATGCAGTAATGTGCAAAAAGGCAAGGTAAGCCAAAACAGAGATGCTGTGAGTATCCAAACAGGTGCAGAGTGAGTGAGCATGAAGAGAGCAAGCTAAGAGACTTAAGATGCACTCTGATCTGATGCATGAGATGGGTGCCTTTCCCTGTGTTCACGGTGGCCTGGCAGCAGCATTATAAAGTAAGATGCTGGTGCACACCAAAGTGCAGCACTGAAGTGGTGATCTGTATTCCAAATTAGTGCAAAATATGCTGTGGTGATGTGATGAGATTGATGTATCTCTGATGCTGACCTGCAGACAAGTGGGTGCAGACGTTTGTTGTCCATTGAGCGTACCTGAGATGTTGGGGACTGCTGGCCAAGATGAAGGTGTGAAGGAGCAGATGGCGAGCTGGAGTCATCAGATACTTGCTGACTTCCATGTCAGAAATTGTCACATCTAGTATCTCTCATGTCCAGAATTGGGAAAGTTCATTGATTTCGCTTCCAATTTCCACCCTGCCCTCACTATCACCTGGTCAATCTCTGACTCCTCCCTTCCCTTCCTTGACATGTCTGTTTTCATTTCTGGGGATAGACTGGCCACTAATATCCACTATAA